ATATATATTATTCAGTTCAATATATGCTTTATTTCCAGATTATTACATGTTGCTTAAAGCTAGCTTTTATTTTTATTTAGACAGCGTTTAGACTTATTTAATGTATAAATATATATTACAGAGATACATAAATGAATGAATTAATATTTGAATGAATGAATATATGAATAATTGAATGTTATAAATGAATGTGTATAAATGTTCGACTGTATGAATGTGTGAGTGTAATATGCAAAGCAGCAAAGACATACGCTTCCTAGCACAACATCTTGGTAAATCCTGCTGCATCCCTTCTATGCAATTCTCATAAACTCATAAATGGCTCACACACTCGAAAGTGTTCATAAAGTATTTAAGCCACATAAACAACATCAGCTCAGCTCAGTTCCAGGTAGGGTATTAACATGTAATAAAGTTTAAGTTGTAGCTTGGCGCAGTGCAGCAGCAGCAGAGAGCAGAGAGCAGACAGCAGAGGGCTGTGGGGGGCGGGCGGTAAATTGCGCTGCCACCGAACACGTGGAGTGCGCCGCTGCCATCTTGGCTCGAGTGTCGTCCAGGTCCTGGCGAAGGCAAATGCCAAGCCAAAGCTACGTGACCAAGTGACAAATTGCTGGCAACTGTAACGACGTCGACTTCAAAATTCGTGTTGCCCTGAACTTGAATGATATTCGTTCGAGTGAGGTGCGGCATGCGTGCATGCCACAGTTCGAACGTCAGGATGTGTTCGACTCACTCACACACACACACACGCACGCACACACACTCACAGTGCAACGAACTGCATATCGAATGGGATTGTCTACTGGGCGCAGCCAAACGTCTCCAAGCGAGCAATCGCAGCTGTATATAAATATTTATATACATATTATATATATACATACATATATGTATATGTATATGTATGCTACAGTATGTAGCTCTCCTGAAAACGCATTTTGAAGGCAAACCAAACTATAATTTAGTATGGCCAACCAGCTTATACCCTGTAAGCGCATTTTAGTTGCTTTGACTTCATAGACTCAACTTTGGGAATATTCGTGAAAACATATCATATCATCATATCATATATCAATCTAGTAGAGTCGAGATTTCTCTCTCTTGTTTCTGCCATGATTCTAATATTCGAACTGTGATCTCAAGTCTGACAACTCAAATATAGTCTAAGCTCCTCTATATCTGACTATATCAGATATATGTACATATATGACTATATCAGTTGCAATGCCACAAACCAATATGCCACATTTCCTTCAATCCCCACAGGGTACAAAAGTAATCAAAATAAAAGATATACACACACATACATATATATGTACATATATGTATGTATAAAGCTGACATTTAAATCGGGGCGTGTTTTGCTTTATCAAGTAGCTAATTTATTGGCTGACCGATGCGGGACAGCGACTCAAAAGGCTTTTCAATTTCGCAATTCAATAGCTTATCGGAAGAATATTTATATATGTAGAAGATTTAAAGTTCTCCCTCTCTCTCTCTCTCTCCTTTGGTCACTCTGCTGCTGTCAACTTTTAGTAAAGCTGTGCCAAAAGGGAATTTATGAAAATATTCGAGTTAATTACGTTACTTAAAAAGCAAGAGTGAGAGAGAGAGAGAGAGTGTGTGTGCGCGCTTAAACAAAGCACTTCAACATAACCTCACATTTGATAAACTTTTTGCTAATTTGCTGTGCATCAACTCAAAGTTGGCTATCTTCGGTTGGCACAGCTGCTCAAATTGAATACGAATTGTGCACCTAGCGTTTGTTAAATATAGTTTGGCACACACACAAGCACACGCACACACGCACACACGCGCACACATGCTGGCATAAAACGCAGTCATAACTTTTTGCACACTAATTAAAAGTTGAAAACTGACTACTAATTTGCAGCAAGCAGCAAAACGCTAGTTAATTGCAACGAATCTCAACGTCTCTGCTTTTTTGGTATTTCTGATTGTTTTGCAGGCAGTCGCAGCTATCGTGGGACTTTCTAAAGACAACAACGCTCCGCAGCCGAGCAGGCAGACCCACAGACGAGACCAGAGCGGCCAGAGCCAGAGCCAGAGCCAGAGCCAGCAGTGAAGTCGAAGCCAAAGCAGGAGCCGAGCAGCAGACAAAGCGGAGCAGCACACAGATCAAGCGAAATGCACGAGAGACGCGTCAAGAAGTAAGAATATTACATAAATTTCAGAATCCGATGTTTAAATGTCGAGCATTGGAGATTATCCGCTAGAGAGAGATAGCTAGATGAACTAGGAAAGAGATGCGCATAAGTCGTATATTAGGTAATCTCTATATAACAAGGCATATAGAAAATAGAGTTAGATACAGAGTGGGAGAGGGAGTGAGAGAGTTTAAAAGGTAGGGAAAGGGTGGAGGCGGAGAGTGGAAGATAGAAACAGGGCGAATGGGAGAGAGATAGATACAAAGATAAAGATAGGCTCTTAGAGTCAGAGGGACAAAGAGAGAGATAGTGATTGATACGAAGAGAAAGGGAGACAGACAGACACTTATAGACTGATATAGAAGAGAAAAAGAGAGAAAGAGAGAGAGAGGGAGATATAGAGTGAGAAGAGAGCAAAACATATTAACATTAAGATAAGTGCAGACACTTTGAGAAAGACTAGAGACTAAATATATGTATGTGCGTATACCCAAGTATGTAGTTAGATAATATAGACATATGTATATTTCTCCCTAACAAGAGCGTCGAATAAATCCATATACATCCACTTCACAGACTAAAGGGCGGACATTATGTGGCCACACACGGCCGGCTCACGCCCGATCCGCCGTACGTGCACTCGAATCGCGGCTACTCGACGGACGGCGACGACTCGCACTCGCACCGGGCGCACTCGGAGTACACGATCGCGCACGAACGCATCTCGCCGCAGTCGCAGTCGCAGTCGCACTACAACACGTCGCGCAAGGCGCGCAACGGGAATGGACAGCAACACCTGCAGCACAGCTACAGCCACAGTCAGATGGGCCTCTCCAGCTCGCCGGACAACGGTGGCCCGCGACCGCTGAGCGGTCCGCCGCCCACACGCCAGCCGCCGCGCGCGCCCTCGGCGCTGAGCTACGACCAGGCCGGGGATGCGGGCAGCGACATCTATGTGACCAGTGCCGCCTACAAGGCGCCCTCCGAGATCAGGTGAGTGGGCAGGCAGAGCGACTGAGCTTGGAGTTTCTCAACCGATTCCATTTCAGCCGCTACAGCCAGCGTCCCGTCTCCCGCGGAGCTCCGCGCAGCGTCTACTCGGTGGCCAGCACCGCCAAGACGGGCCGCAGCGGGCGCTCGACCACGAAGCGTGGCGCCAAAATCGAGACGATGTCAGCGCCGAATCCCTTCTGCCCGAACGTGAAGGGCGTCTGCTGCCTGATGCTGCTGCTCAACCTGGGGCTCATTCTCGTCACGCTGGGCTTTGTGATTGTGGTGCAGTTCTATGAGCCCGTCTATGTCTGGTGAGCATCTTCATTCCTTAGCTCCGGCAACTGCGAGCCGCGACTCATCAATGGCTGTCTCTGTGTGCTTTACAGGGTATTGGGCATCATATTCCTGATCTTCGGCTTCCTCACGCTGATCGGCTGCATGATCTACTGCGTGTACGTCTGCCGGGATGCGAAGACGCCCTCGCAGGTGCGCAACGAGGATCTCTACTGGACGCGACACTGGCAGAAGAACATTGGGTACACGCCCCAAGAGATTAACTACAAGGCGGACAAATACGATGCCTACTCGGACCGCTATTCGGTTAGCAAGCTGAGCGGCAAGTACTCGGATCGGGAGAGCCAGCGCTACTGAGTGGCCGAAGCCGATGCGGCACGAACTTATCTAACTACACAGCGAGGGTCGACCGATGAGTAGTGGCCGATTGTGGCTGATCGATAACAAGTAATCGATAACGAATACTCATTAGCCAGCGCCCACGCATCATAATCGTTATATTAATATGAGAAAACAGAAGCAACTGGCGCATGTCTATATATACGTACATACATACATACATACATATGTATAACTAGATAATAGTCTTAAACGGTTTATTAACAAGGCCTCAACGTACCTGCTGCAAGCTGCTTGCTAGTTTGTATGTTCTTAATCATAAAGAAACATATGCATAAACACAATTATACATACATACACATATATATGTATATTCATGTGGAAATACAAATAGAACCTTGGAATGCTGCCATATTTGTGAGACAGTTGATGATTAACTTCGTACATATTTTTTTGCTCTTACTCTAACTGAAACCTCTTACGCTAACATGCGCAAAGCACATAATGAGACAACAACAAAAAGAACAAAACAAAAGAGAACAACTTAATAAAGTGCAAAACTGTAACAGAAACTAAACTTCCTTCAGCCTTTGATACCAGATACTATATCGCACATATCCCCAGTCTTCATCATCTCGGGTTTGAGCTTGTCCAGGTTGTTGTGGTCGGGTGTCAGGAAGAAAGGAACGTGCCACCAGAATTGAGAAGCTTGTTTGAAACCAAAAGCCATAATCTCCCATGGCCGTTATAAATGAATTTTCCATTGTCTGAACATCGTGAGAACAAGTTCTTCGCGTATTTTCTGGAAATGCAATTTGGCAATGCGTTTTAAATATCATCGCCAAATGTGAAAAAGCTCTCGGTTAGCGTCGATCGATTCGAAAGATACCTCAACTGACTATATTTGTTGCTATCTTACGTAGGACCGTCTGGCAGCACTGTGTATGTTATGATAAAATTTAGGTGGAGCACACTGTTCCATGGAGGAGCATTCTGTTATTGAGCGATGTTTTAGTCGTAACAGTTTCTGTTAAAGTTAACATGCAGTCTTGGAGGAGCACAGCGTCGGCGGAGCACTCTGTTAACTGAATTTTTATTGTTCTCTGTTAGCCAAGTATGTTAGCTATCTATCGTGGTTTTAACAAACTATCGATAATTTTGTATTTCCACTATGCAACATCGATAGTCATCAATGTTTATCGTGCATTCCTGCTTCTGAGTCTTTTAACAGTGGTATCTCGTAAACACTCTTCGCTGTACGGTGCGTGCGTTCGGTGTATTTGTGCGTTTTGTGACTTATGTAGCTTAGCAAAGAAATGCAATTATTTTGTTTTTCACTAATTTAAATGTAGTAAATTGGTCTTTAATTCAACGCGCTACGTTTTAAGGCGTTTGAAAAGTGTTTTTTAGTGTATGTGTATGAGCAATTTTTGTGCCAAAACAAGTTTGAGTACAAATATATAAATATATATGAACATGTGTATATATGTGTATACAAATTCAAATCAAAATAATCCATGTTCTGGTGAAGCAGTTCGAGTGTTAATTGAGTGCATTCCATTGAGACATATTGAGTGAGAACTATTCGAATATTCATCAACTGGAAAATAAAAGGTAAAAACTAATTGCAAATCTGCAATTTTGTACATTGAGCTGACCAAAAATAGCAAACGACGCAAAATCGGATGCTTTGTTTTCTTTCGTAATGCGTACTGTTGTTGTTGTTGATATGCTTTACGAAAGTTCCAGTTAGCTTTTGGGCTTTCGAGTGTGTTGTCACTATATGTGTGTATGTACAAATGTATGCAAGTTGTGTCTGTGTGAGTCTGTTTGCTTATGGATCGTCTCCGCAACAGTATGCGTGTCAATTAACGTTCTTATTTTGTGCGCTGAGCACTTTAAAGACTGTTAAAACCTGTTTTTTCGGTTTGCTTGTTGGTTTTCGCTTTTACGTTTTATAGTCTTTCTCTTTGTTCTTTGCTCGCTGCTCCCACTCAAAGCGACAGCGTAGAAAGCGTCAAGCAGTTGCGAATATGTCGTCTTAGTGAAGCACAGCTAATAACACAGACTTTCTTTCTCTCTTGGCCGCAGTTATCATCCCTTTGCAAAGCCCGCATAAATCATCTGTCACTGTTCAGCAGCCTCAGTTACTGTTTAAGCAAAAGAGAGAGTGAGAGCGAGAGAACAAATGCAATATCAAATCAACTGTCAACTATGTAGATGCAACCGCCGCCATGTGGGCAGCAGCAGTCGCATGCCCTATGCTCACTGACCAATGAGCATGCATAGACTTGTGCATGTGTATGTAACAGACAAAAGTAATTTATACTTATCATGTTTATACTGTAAAGAGACAAAAGATATCTCTTCTCAAACAAAAATTCGAGGTAAATGACATTGAGTTAGATAATGTGTGCCCAGATGTAATTTGAAATGCATGCTGTAGCAGCTCCTAGTTGGCTACAGGGTATATCTGAGTCGTCTCTGTTTATTCGTTTGCATGCAGCCTGCAAAGAAATATACATTGATGTATATGTGCGTGTGCCTGTGTGTGCAAATGAATATCTATGTGGGTATGTAAGTATGTATGTATGTATGTGAATGCATGAGCTTAACACTTAGGACTATTAACAGCTGGCTTTTGCTGGACTACAACAACAGCAGCCTTAGTCTAATTTATACGAGACATAGCTGTAGTCTGTTTTCTATTTTCTGTATTCTGTGTGAGATTTATTCTCAGCTATTTGCCAATTTACTCGCAATATACTTCGCTATGCGGCCGCCTGTTGGAAGTTTTTAGCACTTTTCCAACTGTTTATACAATTCAATGCAGTCGTATGTATGTATATGTATGTACTGTATATTATATATATATATATTATATATATTACCTTATTATTAATATTATATTATTTAGCTACTGACATCACTCTGGAATAACTTCAATGAGCATCATAACCAGTTTTCAACTGCAATAGGAATAGAACTTGACACATACATACATACACTTGAAGCCATATATATGTATGTTTGCATGTATATGTGTATATACATACATACATTCATTCGTATATTTTTAATGTACATAAATGCTTGTTGCCCTATCCAATTGTTTTGGTTGAATGATGTGAATTAATTTTACGCGAGATTTGCATTCAATCAACGATAAACAGCAATTCCAGGCCTTAATATTCCAATAAGAAACATGCAGTTGTCGTTTTTCTCAAATGCACTCACTGATTTTCGCCATTTCCTTTCAATTTCGGAGTTGGGGAAACAGAAAACAATCAACAGCAAATAATTAGCATTCAAGTGAAAAATTCTGCTAGGCAAATTATTTCAATTTCCTAGAGTGCATCCATAGGTGGCCTTTGTAACGGTAACTTGTAACTTTGTTGATACAATTACTCATTACTACTACATGTATATTGCTCATTTATCAGCTTTATACATATGTATGTACATAGTTTGTTGATAAATAAATATATGTACATATATATGTATAAGCTCCAGGCACGCCTTGCTGCAGTATAATAAAAACTCTTTCAAAGTGCAAACCTTTATTTGCACCATTTCACAAAATTGATATAGCTGCATAATCGTTATCAAAAGCTGATATCTGTCCCAATCGGAGCTTAATAATAATCTTAATACAACAACTCGTCACTTTCAAGAATCGATTGGCCGATTTCTTCACTGGAAAACTTTTGACTTTAACCTGATTCCACTGAAAATGGTTTTGTGAGAATGTAAATACCAGATAGAAGAAGACGTGGCAGTTGGTGGGGCTATGTTATATGTATGTATTCTCAATCCAAACTGCGCAGTTAGCCCAGCGCTTGCTAATGCCTGGGTATTTCATAGTCGTGTATTCCCAGCTGGAGCACTCTTACAGCTTGAAACTTTTCGTTTTGATTGCACAAATTTGCAATTTTCGATTTTCTGCTCACTTTGCAGATATTGCTAATGACAAATCCCCGAGCGAGTCCGAGTGTCAGATTACACATTTTGCACTTCTGATTGACAAGTGACAAAAGCAAAAACTTGGAACTTTGCACTGCGCACAGCAAGTCATCACAATAAGACTCCGTACTGCATGCTATGGAGTACGACTGTCCGAAACAAATGATTTGAATGACAAAATTTCTGTAAATATACGGAAAACAAAGCAAAATGTAAGCAGAAAATGTACTGTAAATAAGATATGTGAAAAGTACAGTCCATTTGTTTATATAATATCTATGGCTATGGTTATTTGAGTCTAAGCTGTCTATATACATATGTATGTATATCTCTTACCAAGAGAACTTTAGCTGTGGGCTGACTGTATATTTTAGAGTATCTGTATGCTCGCAACGTTTGTTTACTTAAATATTTCATAGTCTTAAATTTCCAATTCGCAGTGAAACATTTGCGCTTCGGACTTTGATATCGTCATCCCTGTATTTCATTCAAGTACATTATACTTGCCTTTGTTAAGCATTAACTGCGCCATATCGTGAAAGAATGTATATGTATATAGGAGCGCTACTTTGTTCGCCCACGCCAGATAACCCATTATCGAAATAATACAGAATAATAACAACTCAGGATTTTACCAAGTATTTATACGTATATGGGATATATGATTAAGCTAATTCCAAGCTAATTGTAACAAAGCTCAGCTGTAGAAACACTTGCTAAAACTTGATATATGTATGTATGCATATGTATCCAGAAATCTATTTATATAGCCTGCTAGAACACTTGAGTATTCATTTCTTTTCGCTTTAATGTATTCTTAAGATGTTGTTTCCTGGAATTAGTCAGAAAATTGACTAGCGTATAATTGAAATTTCTCTTTTTGCATTTCAAGTTGGACATGTTGGATATATATTCTGGATAAGCTGCTATAAATAGTGTGTGTAGCTATTCGAGTAGCTCCTTCATATACATACATATGGATATATTTATATTATATATGTATATACTTTTGTCAGACCATTTTATTGCTTTTAAAGTGCATATATGTACATATTCCTAGAGCAGGTAATCAACGACGAATGACGAGCCATAGATCAGCAAGTATATATATGTATATACGTATGTTTATTTACATTTACTTGTACTCGTATCAGTGATGGGTCATAGCAGCAGTGAACCAACAAATTGCTACAGAATATTGCGTTTATTTTATTATCACTTCTTATTTGCCCGGTAAATAGGGGCCACCCAAGCAACGCCCTACTGTACTGCGCGCTTAAGAACTCTTATCACGTTTGCTCAGTGACTAACCACAGCGATCGTTCATCGAACATTAATTACCATAATTGTAGTAAAAGTCCAAGCATACGGTATTAAATAATCCGAAAACCCAAACCAGATGTTTCCATTGCTGAATGAATGACTAAATCAGAGGCTACGCTAAACGATTTCCCATTGAAAAGAAAAACATGGCATATACTACAAAAACAGCTAGAGATACATACATATGTACATATATAGAGACAGATACAGCTACAAATACAGATACACCTACAGAGGCAGACACTATAATGAATAGATTCGCTTTGCCGGCTAGTTTGTTTTTTTTTTTTTTTCGCTTGCTAGCGCTGATTCATCCATTTACTTATCGTTTTAGCTCATAAAATTAACACATGTAAATATACAAATATGTGCCATATATACAAACAATATTGACTATATACAAATATATACACGACTCAGGGGAACCAAAGTATATAAGTAGGGAAATGAAGATGAGGTGGTGCTAAAATCTGTCTTGAAATCTTAGAGAAAACAGAATTGTAGAAGAGAGGCAAAAAAGAGCATCCAGATAGCGAGATCGAGATGAGATCTATAAAATACTATTTAAAATATGAGAATACTATAATGTTATAAATCAATTTGATAGTGATGATGATGTTGACTACTTAGGTTATCTTATATATGTATTTATGTATGTGCTTGCTCAACAATGCTATTCAATATCATACATATATCATTGTCATACGTAAGATCTGCCATGTTTATGTTAAAATTGATTGTCAGTGGCTCTATCTCACTCGCTCGCTCGCTCTCTTTAGCTTCCGCTCTCCCTCAACTACATACATATTTAGTTGACCGCTCGACCTTTTGCTGAAATCTCATTTAATTTTTGGACTTTTTTTTTCATATTTCATTTAGTGAGTGAGCCAATTGATGGCAAAGTGTTGTTGTTGTTGCTGGCAAGAGTCCATGACCGCATTAGGCATTATGTATGTATATACATATAAACCTCTCTTGATGTATTTCCTTTGGTTATACGTAATTTACTATCAGTTGTTTGCGATGCCTCAAAAGGTCAGCAAGAGTCTTAGTCTTAGTCTCAGGTGCCCGGAATAGAGATATGGAATACACAGATTTATCAACAGACAAATCTTGAGTGCTGCTAACATAGTCTGCCTGCTTATCTGTAATACTTAACTTCCATATGCTCTCTAAAGTATTTATTACATTTACTCTTTGGTATGTTTTTCTTGCGTATAATCTACAATCTCTCTCTCTCTCTCTCTCTCTCTCTCTCTCTCTCTCTCTCTCTCTCTCTCTCTTTCTCTCTCTCTCTCTCTCTCTCTCTCTCTCTCTCTCTCTCTCTCTCTCTCTGTACTCGTTTGTGGGTTTATTTGAATTGTTTTCGGTTTAACCAGACACAGGGTTTATCGGATAGGTCAGTTCTGTTTATTTTCTTTGTCTGCTGCGCTATCTGCTGCCTCCCTCGATTCCCCTATTATCACTCGATTTTCAAGGCTGTGGCGTGTCCTTGCCGTGGCTCGATTGATTTAATGGCCGCATTGTTCTGTTCCCATGTCTCATTATTAAGCATTCAGCACGTGCATTGCCAGCTTTGTTATTCTTCTTCATAGTTTATGAAATTCCCTAGCCTGACACGCAAACAGAAACAACAACAACAACAACAAGCCGATGTCTGTCATGCAAGCTTAACTTAATACAGATTTCACGCTGGATAGTGCTTTGATTGAATTCCTGCACAGAATAACTGTAATTAGGAAAAACATTGTTTTTAGCATATACAGTACAATATGAATGTATGTATGTATTTGGTGTTTTCCTTATATATACATATATATAGCTGACGCCCAGTCACGTATTCAATTTAATGACCGTTAATTACAAACAAACTTTGACATATTTGTCGCATGTTTCATGCCCCTCTGTCAGTGGCTGTAATAAGCAGTGTTTGCCTATGAAAATGTGCTCTATTTCACCTGTATAATTTGTATATTATATAAACTATATATACTTTAACAAGATAGTAAATATTTCTGCTGAATTTTCAACTATATTCTATATATATAGTATTAAATATCTTAATCTTAGGCAACATGTCCTAAATTGGGTACTCTTTCATAAATATAACTCAATTGATTATACTTGGCAATAGATGCAATGAATGAATTGCACTCATATGGTGTTATATGAAACACTCTATATAGTAGGAATAAACATATCGTATAGATTAACTTGAAGTGCCCATAACTCATTGCTTTTATTGATAATAATAATAATAAAAATAATAATAATAATAAATAAATAATCAGTCATAGTTCCCGTTGATTCGTCAACATCCTGACGGCGACGCGTGCGCTGATAAAGCTCCGTCTTGAGCCCTCTCTAGTTTGAGAGCTCGAGGCGAGATTTACATTTGGACACTCTGAACAAATTCGCAGTTGAATTCAATTAGCGTAAAGCAAATTTGTCTTCAAATGCATAAATGACGCATATTATAATCTAGTTAATGCATCTATTATAAATATATATATATACACACATGCATACATATACATACAATTGAAAGTGAAATTGAAAGGCCGCTGAGAGGGGCACTCGAAGAGGGAAATGGCGTCCACTCATATTGCTGCTGTTGCTCACGAGCGGAAGCTCTTTTGTTTCTCTGCATATCATAGCATTGCGAGTATGTATGTACATAAGCATATATTTATTTATTTATATATGTATACAGCGTATGTATGGAACTCAATTTAATTGCGCTTCAATTCCGTTCTCATGGAAAACATAACCCAAATTAGTTGCGCATTGCAAACTGCTGTGACGAGCTGTGCAGAGTTCGAATTGCAGACATTACGGCGGAGGCAATAATAGCACATGAAACATGTGCAAGACTCTGAATGCATCTTGAATCAGCTGCCAATAACAGCTGGTCCGAGCTGAGGGTGTGGGAGACTCAGCCTCACTCCCTCTGTAACCAATTTCAAACAGTTGTCAATAAATTTACTAATTGAAAGCTCTCAGCTTTGTCTAGAATCAAGAGACTCGCACTCATCGATTTTTAAGGAGCTCAAACATCACATTATAATAATACTCTCTCTCTCTCTCTCTCTCTAACTCTCACTCTCTAATGGCTCAGCGTGCTGTCATGAAGCAACCTGATCGAAATCCAACTCAGAATGAGAATGAGCTCAAGGTCAAGGCAGCTCTGGACTTAGAAGAGCGAATATCGTATTCTACCAAGCCCGATTGGGTTTAGTTATCCAGACCTTGAGGCGGGAATCTGACTCAGTTGTATATGTATATAAATAAAGATCGTGTTTTACTCATTCATAGCATATATTGATTTTAGCCGGAAAAAACAATATATAGAGAATTATGTGTGTGTGTGTGTGTGTGTGTGTGTGTGTGTGTGTGTGTGGGGTAGACACAAATGTAAGACGCACTAAAAGAGTTGCATTGCTTTAGAATTTAAAATATAATCAAAGGCTCCCTCCCTCTCTCTCTCTCTCTCTCTCTCTCTGTACAATATTCCTCTCTCCTATTGCGCCCTCTCTCTCGCCTCCCTTTGGTTTTAGTTGAGCATCTGTACGCGCAGATAGCGTAGGATGATGCCGACGCCTTCCTTGAAGTGAAACACGAACGAGATGCAAAATCCGACCAGGCTGAGGAGGAACAGCCACGGCGAGACGAGCATCACGCCCAGAAAGAGCATGGCGTCGTTGCCCTTGGCATTGGCCATGCGCCAGAGCAGCTGGCGCTGGAAGGTGCGCAGCTGGAACTTGCAGTGCCATAGGCGAAAGTTCAGCTGGCCGAGATTGGTGCCCAGGCGCAGGCTCTGCATTAGCAGGCCGCCGAACAGGATGCTGAACAGCTGCAGCACCAGGAGCAGATGGTTGAAGAAGGTGCTCTCGCAGCAACGTTGCAGCACGGCCTCCATGCGCTCCTGCCGATGCGGCGGCATCCCGGACTTGAGGAAGTCGAAGGCGCGACGCCAACGCGTCGGCTCGCCATTGATGGCGTCAACGCTTTGCATATGCTGACTGTACTCGGTCTCCGAATCCGTATCGCTCTGATAAGTCTTGCCGCTGTCCATGCTGTCCATGTGCGCAATGGGCGCCCCATAACCTCCATGACCCATGTGACCCACGTTGCTCATGCTGTTCATATTCTCCATGTCCATGTGACCCATGCCGCCCATTTTGTCCAAGTGGTCCAGGGTGTTGTTGTCGTTGTGGCCCTCGTCATGTGGCAAGTGCCTCATGCCACAGCAGTCGCCAGTCATCGGCGCATTGCCCATCTTGATCAGGTTTATGGGCAGTTCGCCCTCGTAGGCGCCGTTGTAGTTGGAGATCGAATTGTAGCTGCGCGAGGTGCCGATGCACGGTCCATGGTCTGGTGCGGCGTGGCCGCGGTCGTATGCAGCATGGGCAGAGTGCGGAGTCTTCTTGCCGGGCAGGAAGCCCATCGACTGAGGGGGCGAGCTGTGTGGGTGGGTGGGGGTCAGCTAGTTAGGAGAGAAAACAGAAATGAATGGAGGTGGCATTGCGTGTCTCACCCGCTCAGATGATGCTGCGGCCGCTGCTGCACCTGCACCTGGTGCGCCAGCTGCGCCAGGAACGGCCTTCCATTGGCCATCTCGGCCTTGTTGAACGTGGTCGCCTTCAGCTGCTGCAGATTGAAGCCGCCGCCAGTGTAGGGAGAGCGTTGCTTCTGCATCATCCACACTCGACTCACTCACAGACTCTAGGCAATGGTAGCGGACGTGTTCATTGACCGTGACTTGCCTTTAGCTGCGTCAATTGTTAATAGAAAATGTGATTTATTTTCGGCTCTTGATACAGCTTCTCTGCTGTGTTGGAATTTGGCTTTTCTAGTTGAGTTTCGAGTGCTGTCTGTGTTGACTTGTGAGTGCAACAAACGCAGAGCCTACTGCTTGTGTGAGCTGAGCAAAGCACTAGCACTTACCATAACACTTACTCCAAAGCCAAGCAGATTGAGATTGAAACCTGAGTCGTCCTTCATAACAAGTGTTGGATCTGTTCTCTTGCCATTGTATGCGAGAGAGAAGAGAGAATAGAACTTATGCAACGACGCGGGACTGATATATGTTACCTATGTGATGTGTTGTCGGTCATTGGGGGAACTTTCTTTTTGTTTGCCCAATCAATAACTGATATGGCAATCTTGGAAGGAAATGAAAGACTACAAGAAGAAATACTAAAGTATATACAGAAACTTTTGGCATTCTGAGTGGACTACATCAATCCTGACTGAATCGCTTAAACGTATATAGAATATAAACAATATTGAACGAGTGCATTGTATATATCTGCTTTGTTCGTTCCAGCTTTGTCGCCGACTGCAGCTGATTAAACTGCCACTGAGTCACATTCATATCGAGCTTGGCTTGCAAAGAGTCGCAGTCGCAGTCGCATCGGGAGTCCAGTTCGATGCTGATGCAAGTGCAACTAGCGGGAACAGCAACTGAATAAGAAAGACAAGAGACAACGATCCACCCACCCACACACACACACAGAGACAGTGCCTGCTAGCATGAGCTGGACATGGAGCGGTCTGATGCTGCTGGCATTGCTGGCGCTGGCTCAGTCGGAGAGCATTGAGCTGAGCATTGAGGCGCCCGAAGGACCCAATGTATGCAAGAAGCGCGAAAAGTAAGTGCCACGCCCTCGCCCCGAAAGAGAAAAGGTGTTTAATTGACGTATTTCCTTCTAGCTACGATGTGGAGGTGGTCGTCACGGAGCTGCAGTCGTTCCAGGAGCGCGGCTCCACCTGGTGCCTGAGCATACCGCCCAGCTGCCCCACCTACCGCATCAGGCATCGCATCGTGAACAAGACCCAGATCGTGCCCAAGACGCGCATTGTGCGCGACTGCTGTGGTGAGTGCTGCACCAGAGACACCCACCCCCTGATCCCGGCCAGCTGATGCTAATGCTCCCCCTCTTCCTCTTCCTCTTCCTGTTGCAGATGGCTATGTGCGCAGCGGCAACGAGTGCATACCGCACTGCAGCGAACCCTGCCAGCACGGCCGGTGCGTCGCGCCCGAGAAGTGCAAGTGCATCGAGGGCTACGGAGGACCCGCCTGCAACATAAGTTCGTTTCAAGTTTTATGTGTATTGGGTAGATAACGCTTCTGTAGTACTTGTCGTAGCCTAATCCCCATGCTAGTGTGTGCTTCTATGTGTGTCCCGTTAACTGCAATGAACTGCCTTGGGTGCGCGAATCTAACATTTCCTGCTTGGCCTCGAATACTCTTGCGGACGTTCACGTCGGCCTCTATAAATGAACCACAGATTGCCTGAGTAATCTGCACCTGGTTACCTGTGTGTGTAGATTAAGTAGTTTAGTACGTCTGATTAGATGACCGTTGTACAATCAAGCTCTGCAAGGGTATTCAGACTTTGGCCAGGCGCAGCTTTCCTGCGGTTGGCACAGTTCCTTTTGTTTATTGGCAATGCTTTATACTTTAGTTCTTTGTTAATAATCCTTCCACACTCACACACACACACACACACACACACACACACCAATTCCTCACTTGGCACACGCACACTTCCACGCGCTCTATATTTTCTTAACAAACGGGCTCAGGGCACAGCTGTCACCCACACGGCGGCTCAAGGAAGTGTATTTAGTTGGTTGCTGTGCCGCGGATAACTAACAAAATGATCTAGATATGTATATGTGTATATATATGCAATAGCGAGCGCACATTGTGTTGTGTGTACGTTGAGCGTAAATGGTAAACCGTAAACTCTCCGGTAGATTGCTCGCCCGGACTCTATGGCATCGACTGCAAGCTGAAGTGCGACTGCCTGAACAACGCCACCTGCGAGCCGTACTCGGGCCAGTGCGAGTGCGCGAAGGGCTACACGGGCGAGAGGTGCGCGGAGACGTGTCCGCCGCAGCGGTACGGCGAGAAGTGCGCGGAGCTCTGTCGCTGCGAGAACGGCGGCAGCTGCGATCACGTGTCCGGCAAGTGCTCCTGCGCGCCCGGCTTCACGGGTCCCCTGTAAGTGGGCAAGCCCCGTGCTAACTGAGACTAATCGAGACTAATGTGACGCTTCGATCCATCAGATGCGACATGCGCTGCCCGGACGGCAAGCATGGCGCCCAGTGCGAGGAGGACTGCCGCTGCCAGAACGACGGCAAGTGCGATCCACAGAACGGGGCCTGCGAGTGCACCGCCGGCTGGACGGGCGACGTCTGCGCCAACAAGTGCCCGACGGGCAGCCACGGACTCAACTGCGAGCTCTCCTGCGAGTGCTACAACGACGCGCCCTGCCACCACATCACCGGCCGCTGCGAGTGCCCGCCGGGCTACATGGGCGAGGTGTGCATGGATGAGTGCCCGCTGAACACCTACGGCGTGAACTGCACGGAGCGGTGCAACTGCGAGAACGACGCCGGCTGCAGTCCGACGGGCAAGTGCCAGTGCGCGCCCGGCTGGAAGGGCGAGCGCTGCGAGCAGCGGATTTGCGAGCCGAACAAGTGGGGCTCCGACTGCAGCAAGACCTGCGAGTGCGACATGGAGCACACGGATCTGTGCCACCCGGAGACGGGGCGCTGCGAGTGCAGCATTGGCTGGAGCAGCGCCCAGTGCGATCGGCCCTGCGCCTTCCTCAAGTACGGCCTGAACTGCGAGCAGAACTGCGACTGCCGCAACGGGGCCAAGTGCTCCGCCGTGAATGGCACCTGCCTGTGCGCGCCCGGCTTCACCGGCGACAAGTGCGAGCAGAGCTGCCCGGCGGGCACCTACGGCCAGGACTGTGCGTTCAGCTGCGACTGCCAGAACGGCGCCAAGTGCGCCCCGGAGACGGGCCAGTGCCTCTGTACGGCTGGCTGGCGCAACAACAAGTGCGACAGGCCCTGCGATCTCAACAACTACGGCGAGGGCTGCCGCCAGAGCTGCGAGTGCCAGAACAACGCCTCCTGCAATCCCATCGACGGCACCTGCACCTGCCCCGCCGGCTGGACGGGCCGCCACTGCGAGCAGAAGTGCGAGCCGAACACCTTCGGACTGGACTGCGCGCACCTCTGCCAGTGCGACAAGTACAACACGATTGCCTGCGAGGCGGCCACCGGTCGCTGCATCTGCAAGCAGGGCTGGCGAGGTACCCAATCACACCCCACCTCTACCACAAACTACTCCAGCTCATATCATACACTCACTATCGCTTGCTCATTAACACGAATTCCCAATCAGATATCTAATCTGTCAGTCACTGACGTCCGTCCTTTCCAGTGCTGATGAGATTACATTTCTATCCCTATCCATGCATGCTAAGGCACACACACACACACACTTGCATAGTTGTATTATATTCCATATTCAGTACATTGCTTCACCCACCCACTCGAGCCATATCACTGATCCTCTGTCGCCCCATCTCCGCACACGTTCGTTTGTTTTATCTTAATTTGTGTTTCCCGTTTTGCACTCGTTTGTTTATCTGAAATCGCCCCGAAATTGTGAATGTGAACCCAAGGCGTTCATTGCGAGACGAACTGTCCGAGCGGTTACTATGGTGAGAATTGTGATCAAGTTTGCAGATGCCTGAACAACTCCTCCTGCGACTCGGAGACCGGCAACTGCATCTGTGCGCCCGGCTGGACGGGCGACGACTGCGCCGAGCCCTGCCCCGATGGCTTCTATGGCATGGAGTGCAAGGAGCGCTGCCCCGCCAGCATGCATGGTAAGGCGATCCTGAATGCGTACATTGGCTCTCTAACCAGTCTCGACTTGATCCTTGCCAGGCAACGCCACCTGCGACCATATTACCGGCGAGGTTGTCTGCCGACCCGGCTACTTGGGGCTCACCTGTGAGCACGCCTGCCCGCCGGGCCTGTACGGGCCCAACTGTAAGCTGCAGTGCACCTGCGAGCACGGCGGCGAGTGCAATCATGTGACCGGGCAGTGCGCCTGCCTGCCCGGCTGGACGGGCTCCAACTGCAACCAGTCGTGCCCCCAGGACACCTACGGCCTGGGCTGCACGCAGCGGTGTCGCTGCCAGCACCACCGCAACTGCCGCAAGAACGATGGCCACTGCATCTGTCTGCCCGGCTGGATGGGCGATCACTGCAACTACATCTGCCCCGAAGGCTTCTACGGCGAGTACTGCATGAACCCCTGCGCCTGCCCCTCATCCAATTTCCAGTGCCACGCCGCCGAGGGCTGTGTGTGCCGCAGCGGCTACACCGGCGCCAACTGCGACGAGCTGATAGCCTCGCAGCGCGTGGCCGAGCACGTTGAATGTGAGTAGCAAGCTAACGGGAAAGATTTCCTGTACTAATCGCATCTGATTCCGCAGCGAATAATGCGAGCGTGGCTGTGAGCACGATCTTCCTAGTGCTCCTCTTCATCGGCATCATATTCGGAGTCCTCTTCTACTACCGCCGACGCGTGTCCAATCTGAAGACGGAAATAGCACATGTCCAGTACACGCACAACCCGGCTGGATCCGGCTGGCCTCCCAATCACAACTTTGACAATCCCGTCTATGGCATGCAAGCGGAGGCCAGCCTGTTGCCCAACCACCTGCGGCCCAAGATGAACAACTTGGACCAGAACGGCTCACTGTGCACGGACTATGGTGACGATTCCAATGCCAGCAGCAAAGGTGGGTTCCAATGCGCTCCGCATGTAGAGCCTGCCGACTATCCCGAGACTCACACATTTCCTTATCTCTTTTCAGTGGGCAGCTACTCCATCCAGTATAATCACGAGCTTCTGAACAAGAACTTGAATGCGGACCTGACCAATCCGAATGTGTACAATGACATGCTTAAGGAGGAGCATGTCTACGACGAGATCAAGCACAAGGAGGGCTACAAGGATCCCGGTGAGTATTACAGTCATCCTGTAAAGCTAAAATATCAAAAGACTATTTCTGCGCATATAACATGTATACATACACATATATTCCTCATTTCGCATGCACACATTCGCCATAATGCAGTGAAAATTTATAACAAAGTCTTATTTCCGGAGGGTAAGCCATTGCTCAGTGTTTGTCGTAGCTAGAGATGACTGTGGCCCGCCCAGCAGTTTTTTGTGTCGTCAGCTCCAATATGTCATTTCTAATCAATTGTGTTCAATCTCTTCGCAGATGAGTACGATCACCTGGACTATTCACGTCCCAGCACTTCGCAAAAGCCGCACTATCATCGCATGAACGACACATTGCTGAACATTAACCACGACGAGGAGAAGCCCAGCAATGTGAAGAACATGACCGTGTTGCTGGAGAAGCCCGAGCCACCAACTGAGCCGGAGCCACAGCACGAAAGTTTCAACAATATCAATATGGATGACGCCTCAACAGCATCGCCCAGTTCCAGCCCAGAGCTGCACAAATAGGCGTTAGTCAAGACTTTAGTTCACGATATTTGAAGACGTTTGTAATGTTAGGATAATTTATTATGTTGTCAAGTAGTGTGCATGTTTTTCGTGCTTTTCCGATACATACATATGTGTAAAATGCATTTTTGCTCAAAAGTTGTGAAAATATGTATTTCAATCCCTTATGTTATTTCTTGTAAATGTTTTATTTTTTTAATGTATTCACGAAAAGTTGCTCACTAGGTCTATCATATACAAACAAACTAGGTCGATCAATAATTATACATACATATACATATACATTTATATATATATATATACATATATATATTAAATAAGTAAGAAGTACCTAAAAGTATCAGATATTTAGGCATATAATAACTATATATTTTCATCAGCAATATATTTGTAAAATATAAAGTATGTTAAACTCAAAGATATGCCAAGAATATAATGAATGTAAGAATTGATAGTAGATGGATTGAAATTGGCCAAAATATTTTAAAATGTCAAATTGTTCATTGAAATGTAGCTCGAATATTTGTAGTTAAAATATATATATACTTTATAAATCGTAGTGAGTTAGCCTACCAATTTGCCTTTCAAAGTCAAATGAATAATAAAAGTTGAATTACCCCATAAAATTTGAGGTTTTAATTTGAATTTGAAAATAACAGAAAGTGCAGCGCTGCCAGACTAAAGAAAGCAGGGTTGCATTGGGAATACGATAGATGCAAACAGCCGACTGTTAATGGGCAGCACTGTAAGTTCGACCGGGGCTGGGCAGCATTTGGCTGTCTTTAAATGGCCCGCCCGAAAGTATGCCACACTTATAATTTTTCTTTAGTGCAGCTGCCTGCTGCTGATTGCTGTTCGCCTGGTATTTTAGCAGTTTTTGGGATTGCTAAACGTCGCGACGAGCAGCCGCCGCACGCCTTTGACGGATTCGCTTCGAGCAACTTTAACAGCGAATTTTAACAGACATCGGACGACGAATTAAAAGAGATTTCATGTTCGTTTAATATGTTTATTTATTTAATCCAATTATTTAGTAGAAGCATCAAGTACAATATTTTTTCTGTTTGTTTGTATAAATAGTGTTTCGTTTCGTTTTCCACGTGTCGTTGTCATTGTGTTGTGTTGTGTCTGTCTTTGATTTGTGTTGCAAGTTGCGATTGCATAGACTAAATGCTAAATAAATACATGTACATATACACCCATAGCACAGATTACATCTATGTAGATTCTAAAAGCGTACGCGAAACGAGGGATTATATTAAAATACACACGATATTGCTAATTTGTATTACTTAATGGAAATATTATGTGACTCTTCCACAAATGCATATAAATATGTCTGTCCTTGCAGAGCCTTGAATATCTGCAGGCTTTGCATGGGCGAGGGCAACTTCCTTCAGTCTACAGATAACCATGGCCGGCCACCTCGGCTGGTATGAAGCCCTCGCGTCCGTCTCGCGTCTTCACATAGAACCATTGGCGCTGATCCTTGGACTCGCGGCACTCGCAGAGCGTCACAATCTCGCCCTTGTGGACGACAATGCTCTCCGTGATGTAGTCCGCATTGATGGCGACTAGAGTTTGGCGCAGTCCGTTCTGCTGCTGTCGTCGCAGCACGCTCAGCTGCTGCTGTTGGTGCTGCTGTGGAATGCTCTTTGGGTGCAGATGCTGGCCATTGTGGCCATTGGTTATATACGAAACGTTCGACAGACGTCGCACCGGCTGCGACGCTGGCTGCCTCTGCTGCTTGGTCGTCCGCTGCTGCTGCTGCTGCTGCTGGAGCGTCACGTATTCGTCGTTGGAGGCACTGCGCACTGAGGCCGAGCCGGAGCCCAGTTGCTTGGTGGAGCGCAGCTGCGCGTAGGCCTTCTCCACGAGCTTTGGCTGCGAGGCGGCGCGCAGGTAGAGCTTGTCCACATGCTGCTCGCCGTACAAGGAGCCGGCCAGGCTGCCGCCATTGGAGACCAGACTCTTGCTCGGATTATTATTATTGTTGTTGTTGTTGTTGTTGTGCTCTTCGACTGGCTTGGACTGGCGCGGTGTGCGCGCTCCATCGGAGCGTGTGCCGCCGCGCAGACGTATCTCCTTCTCCGAGTCGGTCATATTGCCGCAGGGCCGTGGAAAGATGTCCGCATTGGACTCCCAGCAGGGCGTCGTCTTGCCCGTGGGCAATATGCCCAGGGGCAGGCAGCAGGCGTAGCCCACGTAGCCCTCCTCGGCGTGCGGCGTCTGCACGTAGAGCCAGTTCTGGTTCTTGAAGACCGCATTGACAACCATGCCCAGGGGCAGGGGGATCTCCAACTGGTAGCCGCCGGGGCGCGTCTGGTACAGCGTGCTGGCCGTGGCCAGGACAACGGGTATGTTGCCCGGTGCGGACAGCGAGCAGCGTGACAGAAACTCATCCACATTTTGGATCTCGTAGCCAAAGCGCTGCACACGATTCCGCTCCCGCTCGCGACGCTTGCGATGCCGGTGCCGGCGCTGCTGCTGCTGTGGTGCAGCTCCGCTGGCACCACCCTCCGAGACCGCCACCAAACTGGGCTCCGAGTAGGTGCACTTCAGGGCATCGCCACTTGCCGAGTTGGTCAAGGCAGTCGCTGAGCCGGCTGCTCCTCCCGCTCCTCCTACTCCCACTACGACTCCTGCTGCAGCTCGCGCCTGCTGCAGCCGGCTCGCCAGCTTCTTGCGAATCTCGTTGCGCTTGCGAGCCAACAGCAGCGCCTCGCTGTGCACGTCGCTCCGCGGCGCCCGCTGCGGCGTGCAGACGAAGAGCAGCTCCTTGGTGGTGGCCGCTGCCACGGGCGCTCCACTGCGCACGCTCTTGTCCTTGTACTCCAGCAGGTTCTGGTTGCTGAAGAACTTCTGGCTGCCCAACGGACCACTGCTGTGGCCGGGTGCCTGGTGGGCGGTGGGCGTGGTGGCGTAACCATTGAGCGGCTCCGTGCCGCCGGGCAGCTGCTTGACCCTATAGCGCTTCTTGCCCACATCCAGCTGGGTGGGCACCGGTTCAGTGCGCTGCACAGGCGGCGCAGCTGGACCTGGGGCAGCTTCGGCTGCGCCCACATGTCCATTGCTCAGCCTCAGCGGCTCCTTCTCCTTGTGGCCGTGTGGGGCGGCTTCTGGTGCGTCGGGCTCATTGCTGGGCTGCTGGTTGGGCTGGTGCTGCTCCCGCAGCACCCAGGTCAGCGAGATGCGAGGACGTCGCAGGCTCAGGTTCTGACCCATCTCTAATGCTTCGAGACCTACAGCATGCTGCAGCTGGGGTGTGCTCTTGGCCCGAGGGCCAGCGCCTAGCAGCAGCTCATCGATCTCCACATAGTCCGAGCTGTATTCGATGCTGTCACGTACCGCTCGATTCTCTGCCGGCGCCGGAGGCGGAGGCGGTGGGGGTGGAGGCGTGGCTGTGAAATTACCAACGGAACTGTCGCTGCTGCCGGGCTGCTGTTGCTGGTGAAGGATCAAGGCGCATGCGTGCAACAAGTCCGGACAATAGGCATCTAAGGAGAGAGGGAGAGAGAGAGAGAGAGAGAAAGGGGATAAGTACTCGACTTGAAAGTATCCTAACTGTAAGAAGTTAATTCAATAGAACTAGTTGCTGATGAACGACAGCATGAGCTAATGAACTTCATTCTCAGCTAATTTATATAGGCTGTGTTCATAAAGCAATGAACTAGTTCACCAAGGAAGTTCACTTGCTCATCTTGAAGAACACTCACAAGTTCATTTGACTCATTTCACTCAAATGAACTGATTCACTTTCTCACTCAACTGAGTCAACTCACCCCTTAGTCCTCGCGAGCTGCGCCTGCGCTGACGCTGACGTCTGACTGCGCTGCCTAATTCGCCGCCGCAGTCGCTGACGCTGCTCTGGTCGCTGCTGTTGCTGCTGCTGCTGCTGCTGCTGTTGGTGCTGGCTGCGAATCTCTGCTGCTGCTGCAGTTCGCGTAGACGACGTCGACGTCGCGCTTGCTGACGCGCTGCTGCTGCGGCTGCGGCTGCTGCTGCTGCATGCTCTGCCGCTGGCTGCGGCGCTGGCGGCGTTGGAGCAGCTGCTACGCCTGCTGGTCGCTCCGTGTAGCCCGGCGGCGGTGTCAGCGGCAGTGGGCAATAGAAAGGGGGCGGGGCTCGCAGTCGCCGAGTGGTGTCCTCTAAGACGTAATCGTTCTGCTGCGCCTGCGTCGACTGCGGCTGCTCTAGACTGCGCTGCAACTGCCCAGCAGCTGCTGCCGCGGCAGCGTCCTCTGCATGCTGTCGATAAGTGGGCGGAACGGCGGAGGCGGCGGCGGCGGTGTCTGTAGAGGCTGCTGTGGAGTAGAGATAAAACCACACATTAATGAGCTGCTTGTCAATTCTTGCACTCGATCATAAAAATTCCAATTATATTGGACTAGGGAGCGCACAAAGCTGCGTGTGATCGACTAAGAGATACCCTATGCCCAATGAATTACAGGTACTTCGGGAAGAGCGGGGCTGCAGTCTTAGCCCTGACTTGGGACTTGTTCGCAGTCTATTCTATTTTACTTGAAAGTTCTAGTTCAGCTCTAGTTCACTGGTTCATATGATCCATTGCACTAATACCAACTGGCATTATGAATTCCAGTTCAATTCTAGTCCAATTCTCGTTCGACTATAGCTCACATCTAGTTCAATTTTTCATCTGGGAGCTATATCTAATGAACTACACTCAATTCCAGTTCAGTTTTTCTAGTTCAATTGAACATTTTGTGGAATGGGGCTACTTGATCATCTGATTCCTTGCACAAAATTCAACTGGAATTCTAAATTCTCAGAAAATTCTTCTACTATTCCCATGTAATTCTAGTTCACTCAACATTTCGGAGCTCCATCAACTTTTACCTCCCAACCAATATACCCAACATCAGTGCGCTTTCAATAGTCCCAGGGCATAGATGCTGCAATAAGCACAGACGGCAAACACCCCCACAAGGAATATTTAAAATATTCGCCAATATAAACGTCAACCTCTGAGCCTGGCCCGGCCGCAGTTGCAGTTGCAGCCGCAGTCAAAGTCAAAGTCTCGGCCACATTTATATGCGCTATCAAGGCCAAGATCAGCGCAAAGGCTAAGTCGAAGGCGAAGGCGAAGGCGCAACAGCACCGGCAACAGCAACAAAGAGCAACAGCAGCAGCAGCAGCAGCAGCAGCAGGAGCAGCAGGAGATACGCAAGAAGCGTGGCCAATAAAATTCCAAAACTGATCTGCTCAATGGCAACAACGTGCCAGAAGTGAGTAGTAAAATGTTAAAACGTGACGGTATTTCACAAAAATACCAACAACAACAACAACAACCGAATATTGTTTGAGCGGGCAGCGAACGGCGAACGGCGAACGATGAGCAGCAATCGCCGACTCGCAGCTACCTCACTCACAGTTCCCCAGTTTCCCAGTTACCTATCCTCTCTCTCTCTCTCTCGTCCACTCCTTCTATAACGAATTTATCTGTGAGTGTGAACGTCTTCTGCATACCCTAAGAATTCAGCTTGAGTCTGAGTCTTGAAGCAGAGAACGAAACCAGCAAGTGTGATACTATTATCGATCACTGTATTAGAAGAGTTACTCAAGTTATCGATAAGCCCTACCATTATTATCGATCACTGTATTAGAAGAGTTACCCAAGTTATCGATAAGCCCTACCATTGGATCATTCATTGGTTATTCATCAGAGATCAATTATCTAGGAAGAAAGTTAAAGCTAGATTGCATTTCATCAATTACAATTGCAAACTGAGTGACATAGCTTATATACCCTCTCGCCAGCGTATAGCCCCATAAGTAAGGCTTGACGAGAAGGCGCAGAAAGGATAAGGCCCTGCAGCTCAGCCACAGAGCCAGCGGCTCTGGCCTTAACGACCTTTGCAAGCCGGGCGGCACTCAATGTCAGAGTTGGAGTCAGAGTCAGAGTCGGAGCGTCAATCCGTCAGTCAGTCAGTCAGTCAGTCAGTGAGGGTATGCCGCTGGCCAGAGAGCTAATCAAAAGGAAGAGCTGGCAGATCGTGCGAGGATTGCAAAGGGGGTGTAGCCGGTCAGGGTCAGGGGGCGGCAGCAGGGCGGGCAGGGGCTGGCCAGGGGCAGGTGGGCAGGCAAGTCATTCAAAGAGAAGCGGAGCAGAGAGCGAGAGCGAGAGAGCGCGCAAGATCGTGAGGCAGCGGCCTTTAATGGCTGCGACGTGAGCTGTGCCACAGGGGCGTGGCACCACAGACGTTGCACAGAAATTGAAAGTGTGGCAAGGCAAAAACTTGCGGGTTGCAACAGTTGTTGCGGTCGGCTAATTAAACGCAGGCGGGCTGCCAAATTAGCTAATGTCCAGATGGAGAGAGAGAGAGAGAGGGCGAGAGGGCGAGAGAGAGAGAGATGATTGAGAAAAAATATGCCACATGCGGCGCCCGGTCCAAAATTGGCAAAAACATTGACAAATTTGTTTTGCAACTTGCCGCCGAATATGGCAGCAGCAACATGGAATGCCACTGGGGCATTGACGGCGGCAAAAAGGCTTTGACCAAGTTGCAACTGCAGCAGCAGCAGCGGCAGCAGCGGCAGCAGCGGCAGCAGCAGCAGCGGCAGCTGATGCCACATTTAGCCGTTTGGCAGGCGGCGATAATAATTCAATCGAAGCGGGCAAATGGGGACGCCGTGAGTTGTGGCAGAGCCGCAGCCGCAGCCGCAGCCGCAGCTGGTGGCATAAAAGGCGCTTGGAATTGATTGGAGGTGCATGTGATTAGCCAGCCGGGAATCTGGGCAACTGGGCGTCTGGGAAACACTTTGAATCTCTAATTCTCCACCTCTCTCTCTCTCTCTGTCTCTCTCTCTCTCTCTCTCTGTCAGTCTTTATCTCTGGCCAAAAAGCTAAACTCTCTCTGCGCTCTGGGCACATGGGAAATTGAACTCTGCGCTGTTAACTTGGCTAACAAATGGCATTGCGATTGTCTCGCTCGCTAATAAGATAAAAGCATTTTAATTGCAACTAAACATGGCAACTCGACATGGACATGCCACAAAGCCGCCCCATCTGCCCCATACGCTTTACCTCCTCCTCCCCTTCCCCTTCCCCTTCCACATACACTCAATCGTTTAGCTGTAGGCCAAGCAACTGTAAAATGGAAATGGCTTAAAGCGTAACGGCCAACATGCGTTGCTACACTTACCAATGACAAGATGAAGAAGAAGCAGAAGAAGAAGCAAACATAATAAAACACAGCTTAAATCAAATGCAAACATAGGCATTGAAGCAAATAAGATTGATTTCAATCATCTAACTTTTTATTAGCTTTTCTACATCTATTTCTGTCTCTGTCTATATAGCTTTCTCTTGCTCTCACCTGTTGAGTGTGCCGTAAATTAAAATGCTGCAGGAGCGCATCAAGAATTTAACGAGAGGCCATCGAACATAAACATAAATGCCACACAACAAGTGGCGCTTGCCATTGGCTGAGTGGAGTGACTAGGAGATACCCTAGAAGAGTCGAGAAAGAGAGAGATAGAAAGAGATAAAGAGAGAGCGAGAGAGTGAGGAGAGAGGGGGGAACGGAGCAAAAATGGGAAGTGGAATTCGAGGAAGCAAGAGCTGAGAGAGAGCGAGAGAGAGAGATAGAGAGACGAACTGAGAGAAAGAGAGATATATTAGAATATAA